CATACTACAAATACAACTCTACTGAGTTGGTTTGAAATTTTTCGTCCTAATAGCATTTACCCACAACTGAGTTAATTCCTCATTTTTAATAGGAAATCTATAGAAAATATATTCATAATTAGTTGCTTATAAATAATAAACCAAACTATATAAATTAATATGAATACTATATAATATGAATATATCACCGAAAAAAATTTATTGATTTCCCTGTTTCAAATCTGTTTGAACATCCAATGGCAACACAAGATACTGGCATTATAATTATAATATAGTTATTATTATGAACCTTGTTGGCTGTAGCGAAATTCGTAACAAATTCATTAGAAAAAACATTTTTATCGTTACAAAATAGCAAATAAGCAATATTTAACATACAAATTTATTATACAATATTTTGCCAACCGAAAACATGGCGGATTACAGATAAGAATATTAACTTGGGCTCCACAAGATGAGTGGAGTTCGTTATYTAGTATAATATAGACATGATTCTGTGGGGACAACATACAACTATCCTATGTTCCATGCGATAACACACAATACAAAATTATTGATATGTGAAATTTATTTTGAACGTTATTGTTGGTCGTTGTGAGACACGTGGAAGTTTAGTCTATTAACAAAATTAATTCTTACATGTGTGAAATCTGCAAGTTCTTTTWTGAAACAAAGTGTATACATAATACTGGTAAAATATACACTATTTGTTTAATATTCATATTTACAGATATCCAGACTAAYATTGCTTTAGAAACAGCAAAGCAGATAATTGTAGGATAATGACAAATATTGAATCTGAAAATTATTAGGAGTTACTAATTCTATTTGTATTTAATTTATTCAATTCAGATCAAAAAAGTTTTCGGATGTTAGTTTTGTGGCTTGAGGAAAATATATTACATAACTATGATCCAGAGAAACGAACAGTGTTACAGAATATCGATTCTCCTTCTTGGGACACAGCATTCAAAGACTACTGTGTGTCATGTTCTAGTCCAATTAAAACTACCGAAGCTATCGATCAGTTGGAATGGTTATTAGGCGTAGCCATTCGACTAATGTACAATAAACAAAGTGAATAAAAACTTAATATTTGTAATCATTTATAATTTGTCTTAAATTCTAGTAAAAAGTTAACTATTTTGGTTTTTAATTATTTTAGAAAACAAATTTGATTCTGAAACAAAAAAAACACTTGAAATGTCTACTGATGTTCCAATGATTGTTCCATCTGATAACCCAATTGATAATCTTGATGGTAACCATTTKAGTACTATTTTAAATTTTTAACATCTTTCATAAATTTCAATTTTTTTTTTTAGTAAACAGTAGTGATTTCAAGGAAGGTGTTGAGAAACTTGCTGACTTACTGAATATTTCCAAGCATCCAGATCACAAAATTACATTAGAAGCTATTCATAAATTTATCATTAAAAGGCTTAATGAAGAAGCCATCAAAAATCCATCATTGATATTACCTAAGGTACCTAAAATATATTATAATATGTATTATATAGGTACTTTATAYATATTTATTCATATAGGGTGAAGCTTTTCCTTTAGAAAAAGTAAAAGGTCACACAATTGAAACCAAAGATCCAGCTGTTCTTCACGCAATGAAGGTTTTGAGGTTGGCACAGTTGCATAGATTACGCGATCTTCAAACGTGTATTAATGAATGTATAGTTGCGATGCAAGAAGTTACTTCTGATCCAAAAACAGATACAAAATTAGGAAAAGTGGGATATTGAATATCAAATTCTTGCAATTGCTTATATTATTTAACTGTAAGATATATATGAATTGTAAAAATGTCTTGTGTACAATTAAAAATAAGCTTTTTAAATCTTTTGTTCTTTAATTTCTGTGTGTATAAATTATGCCTTAGCATCTTTATAAAGAATATTTTTAAAATAGAATCTTTTTTCTAAATGGCATCTGAATATATTGGATTTTTTT